TTTAGCTTAGACATAATAAATTTAAGGCACTTCTCATCAAGTTGCTAACTATTGCATCTAGGTCTCATGATCACTGATGGTTCCTTGTTTTATTTAGCCACGAATTTAGTTGACTCACTACACAAGGATGAGATCCCGGTAAACCCATTTTTTCAGTATAGGGCAGTGGAGAGGCTTGTCTTAACTGTGGGTTCATTTTGCATTCATAAGTTCATTTCACAGTCTTAAGAGTTTAGGTTTAGAGTTAATTTCTTTTGTTCTTTGAAGTAAACTTAGTTGATTAACATGCATTTATGCAATTAGTATAATTAGAACTAACAGCCTAATTAGCGTAAACACGTGTAATGACATAAATAGAACATGTAATTACAAAATGAAATGGTTTTGTAAAAATCCTTATTAAACTATGTGAAAAGATATACTGTGCATTCCGAAAAGCATTGGTCACTATTTAGCAAAAAATTAAATTTAAGTGAAGAGTACAGAAGGTAGGATGAATTTTTAAAAAGTAAATAAGAATCTAGGAATCTTCTCCCTGCTCCTATATTTATCTTAAAAGCACAAAACTCCTGTAGGAGCTTTGATAGAATTTCTGTACATCAGTGTCAACAATGATGGGTTGTTGCTTTTTTAACTATGAATTCCAAATACAGCCATTCTTATTAATTATCAAGTTCTGACTGTAGATTACTATATGGGAGTGAAAACAGTTCATTAAAATTAAAGAAATTGTAATTGACTGATAGATTTTTGTGTGTAGTTTCAATGTATTATAGTACTTCCTAGATCCTACACAACATACAATATCTGTTTGATAGAAGTAACAAAAGTAACAAACCCTTCTGTCTCAGGAACTTGCTGCAGTTACCTTTACTGTGATATCTGAATATCTCACAACCTTTAATGTATTTATCCTCACAATTAATTATTTTGCTTTTACAGATAGAGATCACAGACACAAAGGGCTGGATCCACAAAAGGAGTTAGACATTGGGTTAGGTAGTATGGCAGCACTTAGTGAAATCCACAGCCAGTAATGTAACTGAGGGGGATGACCAGGGCAGCAGCCCTGCACCCTACCTTAGTATGTGTGGTGCAAAAGCAGCTGTTTCTACCTTGGTGGTTGATTGTGCTGCTGCAGTTTGAATGGCAGGAATCAGTACTGCCCCAGGCACTATGTGTGGGGACCTACTTTACTTAAATCGCAGTAAGAAAAAGGGCTTTTCATGACCCATTTGCAGCATGCAGAGCCAATTTCACGGGCATTTCATGGCAGCCCCACCCTTTGGTGTTAATTGGTTGACAGGCCCTGGGTGGGGAGGGATGAGGGGGCAGCTTCCATCTTGCTTGCTGGATGCCCTTTATGCCATCTTGCCCCTCAGCACTGATTGGCAGAGAGGCCCCAGCAGGGGGGGATGTGGGAGCAGCATCTTGTCTTCTACCCTTTGTGCCACCCCACCAGCCAGCACCTTCTCCTCCCTGCAGCAAAGAACATTTATTCCACTGGGGAGCCAGCATTTTATTTTAGTAAGTTTTTTTTCATGGATTTTGCAGTTTCCACAAAATCTATGATACCATGAATTAAGTGGGTTCCTAAATATCCACCTGCCTCAGGCACAGATCCATGCTACTACCCTCCCTTCACAATCCTGGGTACTTAGGCTCAGGTTCTCAAAGATATTTTTTACCTACTCAGGTGCCTAACAGGTGAATTTCATTGGGATTTTTGTGCTTGAGTCCCTGTTGAGGATTGGGGCCCTAGATTGTCTATACTATGCAACTGGAGATTTACGTGCCAAATCCACAAAATTACTGGTGCGGGACCAGGAAAAAATACTTCCTTGCTTTAAATGAAATGCCCTAACCACTAGGTTATTCAGTCATTCTCATGTGTCATCTTTGTGTTCCAGTGGATATTTAATTGCTTCATGCAAACTGGAACTCCAGAATGGCATATAACTGGCTCATTAAACTAGTTTCCTGTAAAATGGAAAATATATGCTCAAATTCCCTCAGAGAGATGGAGTGACCAAACCTAGGTTTCTCACATTATGAAGGTACAAATAGCTGTTGTTTCTGTTGTGGCATCAGCTGTGCCAGGAAGTGTCCTGGCACAACTGATCTGATTCATCAGCAAAAGCAGGCATCGCAAAAGCTGCTGTCCCACAGGGCTGGGCCTCTGCCACTCCTGGGGCTTTAGGGGCTGGATTCTGCAGGACAATGGCCTTGGGTGCCATGCCCTGATCCAGGGTGTGTGACTGGTGAAACTTTCATCCCAGGAATACCCCTGCAGGGGGACTCAGGGTGTAATCTACAAGCAGAGGAACCCCAGCAATTAAATAGCCATTGGGACAGAAAAATGGCACATGAGAATGACTGAATAGCTTGGTGGTTGGGGCATTTTGCTTAAAGGGATGAAATATGGTTTCCCAATGAGGGGTTTCCTTGCTTGCAGAGCTGTGCCCTGGGTCAGAATGCAGCAGCATGTGTCTGCAGACATGCCCCAGGAGTTCCTTTGCGGAGGAATTCCCATGGTGTGCGGTAATTGGACAGGGGTATAGTTTGTAGCTGTGTTGGTCTAAGGACATAGGTTCTTTGGTTGACCTTCTTTGGTCAACCTTCAACAAGGTTTTTTGGGTAAATCTGATATCTTTTATTAGACCAACTCAAATAGTTGGAAAAAATCTTTGCCAGCTTTTGTGTACAAATACCCTTCATCAGGCTGAGGAAGTGTCTGCAGTTGGTCTGTGCTCCTCCTGGATGGAAGAGTAAAAAATCCAGAAGCCAGCATGCATGTGAGAAAGCTAGTCAGTGAAAATGTAAATTAAGATAGCCAACGAGTAAGAGACAGGTAGGGAGGTGGGGAAAGGGGATGAATATAGCTGATACATGGTAGAGCGGTTACCTGGGGAGTCAGATGTTAGGCAGGTTATAATGTGTCATAAATTCAATGTCTATATTTAGCCCATGATTTTTTGTATCCAGTGGGTTGATGAAGTCAAGTTCGTAGACTCATCTGTGAAAGGTATTTTGTAAATTCCCTTTGAGGATTAGAACTGAGAGACTGGAGAGAGAGTGGTTTTCTTGTGAGAAGTGTGTTCCCACAGGTAATTGGGTATTCTTGTCTTTGATAGATTTTTGGTGTGCGTTCATTCTGGTACACAATTGTTGTTTGCTTTCTCCTACATATTTTCCATCAGGGCATTTGGTGCACTGGATAAGATATATGACATTTCTGGAAGTACAGGTGTAAGATCCAGGAATGTTAATGGTTCTGTTGTGCAGTGTAGTAATTGTGGGGGGTGGTGGAGATATATTGGTGGGTTTTACATTTCTTGTCATGGCATGGTCTGGATCCATTCGGTATGTTCTGGGCTTTAGGAAGTTTCCTTCTGGTGAAGAGGTTAGTGAGGTTCAATGCTTGTTTAAAGGCTAGGATGGGTGGTTCTGAAAAGATATCTTTAAGATCTCTTTCTTGCGTGCATACTGACTTCTGGCTTTTTTACTATTCCATCCAGGAAGAGCACAGACCAACTGCAGATGCTTCCCCAGCCTGAAGAAGGGCATTTGTCCCCAAAAGCTTTCAAAGAAGATTTTTTCCAACTACTTGATTTGGTCTAATAAAAATTGTCAGATTTACCAAAGAACCTTGTCTGTCAGTAATTGAACAGACATCCTCCCCTATAAGGTGTCACAAACTGTGAATAGGTTTGGTTGTTCAAACATTCTTGGTCGGATGGAGAGTAACAAGGGGTAGGGGCATCTGCTTGCTCACAACTTGTGCTGTCATAAAAATGTTTTTTGGCAGCACAAGGATGACATTTGTTTGTACCCTGAGCAAGTTCTCTAACCACTGCTTTGCCCTGCTGTGGAGGACCAGTCACATGCTCCCCAGAATGAGGAGTCTCTGACCAGTCTAGGAGGGGACTGCCAAAAAAAAATTGTCTAAGAGCAGCTGTCAAAGCTCATCCTCTCCCCCCACCCCACCCCCAAGCAGACACCAAGGTCCCCCCCTCGCCCACTGACACTGGGATTCCCCAGTGTGGGGAATGGGTGGGGGGATTTGTCCCACTGCTCTGGTTACCCAGGAGAGGAAGGAGTGGAGAAGCTGCTCTTCTGCATATCTTCCCCATATGAAGGATCACCCTAGTTTGGGGATGGTGTGGAGAGCAGCAGAGAGGGAGCAGCTGCAAGCTGAAGAATAGCACTGTTCCCTCTCCCAGAAAGATTTGTAGTGGAGGAAATTTCGGATATTTCCACCATTAGAAATGAATGGTGGCTTGAGACCTCTTTCACTGACACACTGTGTGCACATGGACTTGTTATTTCATTTTTCTTGTGGAGATTTTCAGAGGCCTGAAAAGAGTATTAACAGCCATCTCTGCCCATATATGTCACTGAAAATGTCCCACTTCATCTGGGTTTCTTCATCTGTAAAAAATGGGGATCACAATGCTTACCAAACCTGAGTGATAATTGGAAATTTCCTTTTCTTTTTGAAGGATGTTCCAATACTTTGCCCCTAAATTAGGACAAAAAGGTAAAATACAAATTTTTCACAGAAGGAAAAGTTCAATTTAATTACAATTCAGAATTGTCCAGCCATTTAATTTCAATAGCTTTTTAATTGATAGAGATAAAAGTATTTTGACCTTACTTGAAAATTATAACTAATAAGTAGCACCATGTCCAGCCATTATAAGTAACAGACTATTCACATCTTGAAATATTTGTCTACCATAATAAATAGCAGCAGCAGTATCCACATTTGTAAGAATTGCCACTGGATTTTTTTGTGTGTAATCCGACAAAAACTGTATAATAATGCAGATAAGATGTATCAGAAGCAAATCCTCACTTCAATGAGTTCAAATTATATACTCATAAAATAGACATTGTTATGAAAAAAACAGTTTAATAGGGTTTATTCTGGCAAAGGTGATTTTTCTAAAGTAGTTTCATCAGGGTGTAAAACTGAACTTTTTTTCATTTTTCCCTAGAAAATTGCCTTTATGGTAGCATTAGGCCTGGTTACTACAGAACATTTGGAAGGTAAGAATTTATTTGTTGCTTCAGTTAAAATTTTGTGCGGAGTCTCTTCTCTATAATATTCTACAGCCACAGGAATCACTGAGAAATCTGTCTGTAGAATGACTGAAGAGTCACGCAAAGTCTTATTAATGCTTGTCCATCCTTTTCATCCTAAAAATGATGGGTCAGTTTATTTGGTTCTCTCCCTCTGCACCTTTTCTGTGGCAAACTATAAGGTGGTACCTTGGCTGGGACCCTTGGAATAAGAGGTTGGCTGAGTAGCTGAGTGCCCTGCACTGGCAGTTCCCACCCGATATCAGTTAGAGAGGCTTAAAATCCACCAAGGTGGTGTGATCAGTGCATCTCAGAGGGGAGAATCAGTGAGAGCCTTGTGAGAGTTCCTATCCCTCTTCAGAGAGGTCCCCTTCTCTGCTGCACCAAAGTTCACACCTCACAAAATGTGAGCCAAAGTCCTTCTTTCCATTTGTTTAATCTATATGCACTCAGTCATTTCTGCAGTACCAGAAAACCAAATTTTAGTGTGAGTGAAATTTAGAATTTGGCTTTATTGTGTTAGTTACGTAAATACCAAAAAACCCCCAAACAAACAACCCCCCACAAAAAAACTCCACTCAGACACATTGTTCTTACACCAGCATTTTTTAGATGAACTAATTTTTGTTGCAGAATTCTGCAAAGAACTGTCCCCATACTTTCTTAGGTTCCTGTGTACACATTAAAACAAATATATTAATTAAATGTTGCAGCCACATACCATTGTCCTTTCTTTTGTAACCTTCCAAAAATAAGCTGCAAGAATTAATAGATTTACACCTTTTCTTTCTCTTGACATTTCCTTGTCAAACTGGTGATGGGGAAAAGAGCTTGTTCTGCACATTTGCTGTAGGTGTGAAACAGATTTTTTTTTCAGAAGCAGGAGGAGCAGATGTAAAATCCAAAGCCTGATACATGTAGTGGAATTTGGGCCAAATCTTAAGCAGGTGTACATTGATATAGTTCCACTGAAGTCAGTGGAGCTATATCTCTTTACACAAACTGAGAATCTGGCCTTCATTTTCAATAATTTTAATTTTAATAGCCTCTAAGTAAACTCTTATCCATGGCAAGATACTCGGGCCATTACCTATCTTTACAGAGGAAAGGCAACAAGACCACTTAGGGACTTTGAAGTCAGTTATGTTCTTAAACAGTCTCCTGAGTCTGAGTGTATGCTATCTTTTCAAATTTTTATTTTTATAATCCTGACCTTCTCACTTTCATTCCCAAGAAAGTAGCACTTTAATTACAATGTCATGCTAATATATACAGTATGGTTTTTTCCCTCTGGTGTTTGTGGGTTATTTTATCAGGATGTTTCTCTTTCAGTGTGTATTTTAGAAAATCATTTAATGTCCCAATAACTGAAAATCTGAAAGCAATTAACAAAAGTTTAAGTCATCAGCCTTCCTAATTCCTTAATGGCAATGGATCAAAATAGAAATTAGAAAGTGGCAGCAATTTTGGGGAGATGCATATTCTAAAATGTGAAATGATGACTACAGAAGTCAGTGTTTATTCTTGTTCCATTTGTGTGAGGAAAAAGACAGGATTTGAAATTATGCTAAAGTACATCACTTATGATGGAAATAGTATCGTTTGACTATTTTATGCCCTCCTTTATGCCCTCCCGTTTTATTGGAATTAATATGTCGTGCATATGGATTTAAAGTTGCTATGTTGTATGCATCCAGTAGTACTCAGCTCCATTTGTTATACAGTAAATGCAAAGATTCTAAGCCTGCAAAATTGTTCCCTTCAGACAAATTCATTTCTTTGCTTTTGTACAAGCTTTAAATAAATGGCTATAGTATAGAGCTATTTACTATGAAAATGGTATTTCTTTACAACTACTGGCAATTATAACTACCAGAAGTCCCTCCCACGTTTCACATTTTTGAGTTTCGTTATTTTAATGCTGTGTTATGTTTACTGATACTAGACACTGCTATATTTTAGGAAGTGGAGTTCATTTTATAGTTCAGATGATTTTAAAATCATATATTTTGCTATTTTGCATTTTTGGAATTAAACCGTATCCCAATTGGATCTCTAAAAGCTTATTCATTCAGTAGAATTAAACCACTCCATTATATTGATTTTTCATTTGTATTAATTTATTTTCTGGTAGAAGGCTCTGACCCAGTCCTGTATAAGTACATCCATTGGCCTAGCAACCTTTTCAGCTGTCTTTTAAGGGGATGTTTCCCTACATTGAGAACAGACCAGTGGCCTGCAGTTAGTCAGCATGAGATACATGCACCCTCTTTTGAGGGGTTAAATTAAAAGCAGAACACATTGATTTTATGTTGGTTTTCTGCAAGAGCTGCATTTCACTCAGGGTAAATTGTCATTATAGGCTCGATAAAAGGCATGTTTGTTGATGTTGGTGGTAGTTCAGTGAAACTTTTCCCTAGGGACACAGTGGGTTATTACATTTGCCCACTAACTGCATTTTGATATGTGACACCCATCTAAAGTCCAGTTTTTTAAAGCTTTTTTCCCTAGTTTATCAATTGAATCTTAATTGTAAAATATATGCATACACAAAGGAACAGATTGGATGGGGTTATTGATGGAGGGTAAGCTTTCATTGCTGGGTCCTTAGCATGTTAACTTGCTCCACAAGGGTAACTCTCTACAGGAGATTTTGGTGCCAAAATGAAAAACCACTTCCCATGCCCAGCTGGCCCCAGTCTTGCCCTAGGGCACTAAATTGTGGTCCTGTTGGCCCTATTAAGGCCTCAGGGCACAGGTTACCTTATGGGCTGTAATCATGGCCTCCTGCCACCCCCACAGACATACCCATGCCTCACAGATGTTACTCGTCCCCACTGGGGCACTTGACCCCTCAGACCTCAAACCTTTATCTGGGCTTCAGCCTTTCTGGCCTTGGCCCTTTTACTCTGGCTGCACCCTTTAGCCCAGGTCCACTGCCTCAGACCTTGGCTCCTGGGCCTTTGCCCTATCTCTGTGGCAGCCCCCTGCGTTCCCTAGTCTTGGCAAAGCTGCCTTTGGCACAACCCCATGGGGCCTTAGCCCTGCAAAGTTCTATTCTGGGTGCCCCTCAGGTATCTCTGTGGTTTCCATACCACCCCCATAGCCACAATCCAGTCTTTTAGTCTTAGATGTAAACGTAACACGAATATAAGAAAATCACTTTCCAAATAAAGTTCTGCCCCACTCTGGGTCAGTGCTACACCAAAAGCCACATTTCCCTTTTAGTTTTCTCCTTCAAGCCCTGTTGGGTAGTGTAACAGGTCGCCCTCCCCAGCGCCATCTTCCTGGTAATCTGCGCCTTACGTGGGGTGCCCTTGGAGCTTTCTTTGGGGTTCTTATGTCCCACCGTATATTCGTCTGCCACGTCTTGATGGAAATTATTATTATGATATTCTTACGAGCAGGAGACTGCCTATTGTATTGTGTATATTGGGGCTTTTCACCTATGCGGGCCTGACCCCTGTTTTTCTTTAGCTAGGCCTCCCCATCTGAACCCACTACACAGGGTTTAACTCTGAAGCACTAGCCTTTTCTGGTGTCTTGAGGCTCATGGCCCCCTTTCCTGCTTTAATCTGGAGCCCAGCCGAGAGGCCCAGGTGCCAGCCCCACAGCCAGGGGGTCGCAAGTTCAAAACCAGGGGGTGACCCTGAACTAGCACCCTCTCAGTCCAAAAACTCCCCAAAATAAAATTGCAGCCCAGGTGCACCAGACTTCCCTAGCCTTTTTAAGATCGTGCCTTCAGGCGCCGGTGTCTATGTCCCCAAAACCCATGCCCCCACTGCCATTGGGGTCTGTGCCCCCAAAAGCTGTGCCCTCACTGGTGCCGGGGTCTGTGCCCTCCAAAAGGCATGCCTTCACTGGTGCCGGGGTCCCCACTCTGTAGTGGGTCCCCAAAATGAGGCCTCCTCTTCCCCTAATAGCCTCACCCAAACTGCTGGTCTTATTGAATAACCCCCTCAAAAAATGAAAAAATATAATAACTTTCACCAACCAATATGATCATGCAAAGCAGCAGGTAAGCTTACATTTACTGGGTTCATGCCTCAGCTCCCTTCCGTTGGCTACAGTCCTTGCTGTGGTGCGGCTGCCATCTCCCCACGGCTTCCATTGTTCCTGCCTTTGGACTGCTCACCCAGCTTCTCTGTGGAGCTCTCAGAGGCACTCCTACCCCTTTGGCTGCCATTCTGCCCAGGGATTTTCATAGTTTCATAGTTTTTAGGGTCAGAAGGAACCTGAGTAGATCATCAAGTCCGACCCCCTGCCTTAGCAGGAAAAAGATTTTATAGTCCTGCCCCTTCTGATCAGCTGACTAGCTGGCCAGGCTCAGCATTTAACCCCTTCCTCACCAGCACTGTGCCCAGAAAGTTCTGGCCTTAAAGGGGCAGACCTGCTCTCTGGTGACAGGTAGCTTAGATGCTTGTTGCCTTGTTTCCTGCAGCCATTTCCCTTTGGAGTTCCTCTCCCTGCAGTATGCAGGGCTAGACTGCCAGCTTTGTCTTGGGCCCTGGGCTTACATGCCTCAAAGCTACTAGGGCTGTGCAAAATTTGAACTGCCATTTTGTTTCAGCGGTGTTTTGAGCGTTTCAATGCTGAAAACTCTGAATATGAAATGAAACAGGAGACACGTTGAAATGTTCAAAATGAAATGAAACAAGATGAAACGTTTCAAACATGTTTCACCATTTTGAAGGTGTTTCGAAGCTGGGCTTGTAGGGAAAGAAAGTAAGGAGAGGGAGGGAGTAGAGGGAGGAAGAGGCTGACATCTGTAGCTGGCCAGCATCTGCCAATGGTCCCTGAGGTGCCTTCCAATCCCAGTGTTCTGGGGCAGGGACCTAAACAGTTTAAAAACAGCATATAAGCCTGTGAGTGACTAAGCTGTCAGCCTTTGTCAGCCTGTCTCTCACCAGAGAGCAGCATCTGAAAGCTGCTAGCTAGTGTGTGTGTCTTCTACTTGAAAAGGATTG